CCCTTGCCCATTGACCATAGTATCTCAATTTTTATATCTCTCTGAACACCCATCGATTTTTCCTTGACCACTTATTGGTAGTAACTATTAGGGGGATTTTTTCGTGTCGATACAACAATAACATCATGAGAAAGGAAAATGCTGAGAGGACGGTACCATCACTTTCCATAAAGTGACGATAACCTCCTGACCACACATCCCCAGGTGTATAGGGTGAAGCGCCCATTTTTAAACATTTTTCAAATAGATTTTGTCAATTTGAAAAATCCCACTCTTGAGATGTGTGGTCAGGAGGGTACCGTCGCTTTGTGGAAAGTGACAGTACCGTCTTCTAAGCATTGCCCTGTGAGAAATACATTCAATCCGTAAACACTTAGCACTAACTGTTAGAAAAAAAAAACACTCTCTGTGCTTGTGTTATTTTCATTTATGTCTATTTTTCGGTATAAATTACCAAACTTGTGATTGGCATTTTGGAATTTGGCTTCAGGTAGAGGTAATTAATGAACGGGCTTGGGCCCAATTGGGCCAGGCCAGACCTTACAACTATTGGGCCTTGCGGGGCCTATCTAAAAGTGCCTTCAGGCCCTTGTAGCTCGAGCCCGGCCCATGGGCCGCGCGAATGATCATGTCTAGTTTTCGGTAAGCTTAGGAAGAAAACCACGTATCAAGTACGACTGTTTTGCATTATTTTTGCAAGTGAATGCAAAAAAAAAAAAAAAAGAAGCTTTGATGTCAATTGATAATGCTGGGTCGAAATCACATTAATAAGGAAATTTGATGCAAACTATATAGACATATGGTCAGTTATTGTGCAATTATTCTATTTTAGAATAGCAAGAGCTGACTCTTTCTGTTTTTAGATTAAATCGATGGTCAATTCGTATTCCAATGAACGTTATTGTCCGCGTAGCAAGAAATTTTGGGTGATTGTGTGAAGGGAAGAAAATGAGTGGTTAGTAGGAAGTTACCGAAGATTTGGTAACTTCGCCCTTTCTTGTCTTTTGAGTATTTAATACGAGAATAATTCGAGAAAGTTAAAGATGAAAGACACAATGGACTTGATAATATCGATATGCCACGGAGCAATATTTGGACCGAGTGTTTCTTACTTTTAAAATTAGATGGTGTAAGACATAATAGATGTTGGAAAAGCACCCACTTTCGACAATTAAGACTAGGGAGGAGCAAAAGATCTAATGTGAGTATTAAGCTTCGCTTGTTTCATAAAAAATAATTGATTTGTAAAATATTTTCCTTAAAATGGTTGTTGTATCATTTGAAATAATTAGTCAACGAAGATGAAACTATTTTTCTTTTATTCATTTTTTGAAGTGATTCGAAGCGACCAAACTTTTGGAAATATATCGTTTATTTTTCACGAAACAAACCCGACTCTTACTTTAAGCTCTTCTTTTCAAATAATTGAAGATGGTAACTTGTTCCTTTTGGGCTTGTGATAAGTTGACTTTATTCTAGGGGGAAAAAAACAAATGGTTATGATGAGCGAGTGGAGAGACGCAGCGTCGAAAATCAAGTCTCACGGTGCCTGATTATTGCCCGAGTCATGTAATTGTGAGTCCTGCGTATGACGGAGAAAGAAAACAAACCATCGACAGATATCAAATAACTAAACCCATCTAGCAAGTAGGTCGGGTTTGGGTTGGGTTGGGTCACAGATGGTCTGACCTAAATTAACACATTAACCCGTTTATAAACTATTTATTCGCAATACAAATCTATTGATCCATACCCGACTCAAAATCATACTTGAGTCGACCCATATTGGGTCATAAAAGGCACTTTTGACTTAATAATTTAGATATAGATACAGCACGGAGCAATATTTACATCGAGTTTTCCTTTTTATTTGGTCAAACTACATGTTATAAGGTATAAAACATGTGGGAAAAGCACCCTCTTTCGATTATTAAAGCTAAGGAGGAGCAAAAGATCTAATGTGGGTACTTCAAGCCTCCTTTTTTTTTTTCCAAATAATTAAAGCTGGTAACTTTGTTCCTTATGGGTCTGTGATAAGTTGACTTTTATTCAAGTATAGAAAAAAACAAAAAAAAAACAACGGTTGTGATTGAGCGTGTGGAGAGACGCGGGCGGCGAAAATCAACCGGCGAGAAAAGTGGTATGTCGCGGACGATGATGATGATGGTCTCAATCATCGAGAAGACCCAACTGCTCCTTTTTTTTCCCATATTAAATAAAATTGAAATTCAAAATAATAATAATAATAATAATTGAATTTCAATTTCTTAAGGTTTTGACCTTTTTTTTTAAAAAAGTGGAATTTATTCAGCCATCTTCTTTGACGTCCAAGTCATCAAACTCGTCTCCCAACACTCCACTTTGGTGCACGCGTTTAGTGTCTAAAAAGAAATAAAAAAGAGTGAGAATGAAAAGTTGCTTTGCTTTTCCTTGCCTCTTGGGGTTTGACATGGTCACTACGCTTTTATTATTACCCTTTTGCACTTCACAGTCTTGAACAATTTACAGAATTGCCATCAAGATTATATAATTTTTCGGATTAATACCGTGAAAAACCCCAAATTGATACATCTATAACAAATTTATCTCAATACTAATTTATTTTATCACTAAACAGGTACTCCTGTGACAAATTTACCTACCGTTAAATTTTACTATCAAATTGTTGAATTTAATGATACGTAATAGTTAACTGATATACCAATTTGGGGTTTTACTCTCCATTTGTCATAAATGTACCAATTCGTAATTTTTCGTGGTATTAATTTAATTTAATGGAAACTAGCAAATGGTAAATTTGTCACAAATATACAAATGCAGGGTTTTTGGTGGCAAAAGAATTAATAACAAATATACCAGTTTAGAATTTTTCATAGTAAAAAAATTGGCTTAAGGTAAATTCATCATAGGTGTACCAATTTGGGGCTTTAAGTGGTATTGACCCTAGTTTTTGAATTGTGTAACTTTTTCTCCCCCCATTAAATGGCTCCTAGGAAATACTCCCATCTATAAATAAATTACAATAACCATCACAAAAAATAACAAATATCAAGTCTCGTTGCGTCAGATATTATCACCCAAAGAGTATGAACCGTTGACGGATATCAAATAACACAATACAAGAGTAGTATTAATTAACATTTTTGCTTAATGGCGGGAATATATATATTTTGTGGACAGGTTCTAGTTTTAGGAAAGATGTAACATATAGGCAAAGTAAGTTTTAAGAAGTCTGAAGAAATAACAGTAAAAGTTGCTAAAAAAAGTTTGGAGAATTGAGCTCTACCATTTATAGATGTACACCATATATACAAGAAAAAAGATTTATGACCTGTTATGTAATTAAGACCGTCGAAAAAACAATCTCGGTGATCGAAAATGATGGAACTTTTGAATTACTTTCGAAAGGAGTAAAGGTGAAATGGGCTTGTTTGTTTGTCATCAATCAAGAGCAAAATGCGTATTTTGGTTTTATATCGCCTATTTAGATATTATTCAGAATTTTTAAAAAAATTATGTTGATCTACGTATCAATATTTGTATGTCGTGAAAAATTTAGGTGTTACGGATTTAAAAAAAATCAAATTGCATGAATCACAAGATTCTAATTAAGTAAAAAGAAAAAAAAAGTAATCGAAACACACTCTAAATCACTCTTCACCTTCAACCCAGCAAAAGAAAGATTTTTAGAGTTCACATCCTTCCATTCTTTTTTTTTTTTTTCCTTTTCGTCTCCCTCAAAGTCGAATGCTTTCCCGGTGGTTTGCTTTCCAAAAAAAAAAAAACACAAAATTTACTTCTAATTAACTAATAGTATAGTAAATTCTTCAAATTATTGTAAGTGATTGTAGCCGAGCTTCGTAAATTGTCCCCAATAATTGGTAAATGAAATATTAGTAACCATCCTTGGCATTTAATAACTTACTTAAAGTCCAAAAGGTCGAACAACTGAGTAATTTTCCGTGAGAAGCCATAACCAACCTCAATTTGTCTTAAATCTTTTGCTCTATTCTTATTACCCCCACCATCATAACATTCCTTTACAATGTGTAGCCATGTCAATGACCAAAAAAAAAAAAAAGACCAATTCTTCTTATATGCTGTAATCTTTCTAAATTAATAATAACATCGATAATCATATAATTAGTTATTTTCTCTCGTTATTCGTAATTTTCTCTCCACGTGAAATCATTCAACAGTTCTTTTTTTTTTTTTGTCTTTCGATCCAATGGTCCATATTATATACGAGGTTGATTCCGTGAATTGTCGAACTAGACCCTAAAGAATTTCCCAGGCTTTCCTCGAAAAAACTTATGTTTTTTCTTTCTTTATTTTTAGGGTTAATACCACGAAAAATCCCAAATTTGTACACATGTGACAGATTTACCCCAAACTTATTTTTTGATCACCAAAAACCAAAAACTGATACACGTGTGATAAATTTATCCAAAATTAATTTTTTTGATCATCAAAAACCCAAAACTAGTATATTTGTGATAAATTTACTCTATATTAGTTTCAGTTAAATTGGATTAATTCCAAGAAAAACCACAAACTGGTACATACCTATACTACCACATGTCATCCAACTCAGCAATTTGACGGTAAAATTTATCAAAAATTAACAGAGAGTAAATTTGTCACAGGTGTACCAATTTGGGATTTTTGGTGGTCAAAAATTAATTTGAGGTAAATTTATTACAAGTGTACCGATTTAGGGTTATTTGTGAGATTTACCTCTTTTTTTATTTTTTTTTAAAGACGGGTCTTCCTAGGAAAACTTGTCCCTTAAGCCCTCTCCTTCCTTTCTTTTCTCCAATTTTCGCAAAATTTTCTTATATTTAATCTAATACGGCGAAACAGCGTTAGAGAACTCGCGACGACCGAGAAAATTCAAAAGCTTCCAGCTGGGGGGTGGGGTTGCGGGACCTTCATCCATGTCGGGACCGTGTGAAAATCATCAACTGCCAAGTTTTGTTTTCGTGGGCTTTGTGGCATTCCCCGAATTTGACTTTGAATTTTGCGTCCGATTCAAGCAACTCCTCCTCGTTCGTTTCCCTTCCCCACTTGATGCTTCTGTTCCTTCTTGGGACAACGTCTGTCGAGTCAAGTCAATCATCATCTCGGGGATTGCTCTCCGATATTGGTTTTCCACCGGACAAGCGCCAAGACTTCCCATTTCTGATCTGACGAAAAGAACCCAGAGCAGGGTATCTCTGGCTTTCCTCTTTCTGGGTTGCCGTCTTTCCGCGAGCCGAGAGAGAAAGATCAAAGAGGGGAAAAGAGGCAAAGAGGGTGAGATAAAGATTGTGGGGTGTGATCGGGAACGTCTCTAGGACGACTTGGCTGCTGCTTTTTTGGGCGAATCAGGATCTTTTCTCATCTGGGTCTCTTCAAAGTTCCCAGCTTTTCGCAGGCTCCTCTGTTCTTTTATTTGAGGCGGGTCAGTCCTTTATTACTCTTTCGCTGTCTTTTCTTCCATGTGAATCTGCAGCTAAACTCTGTGAATCCGTTTCTTTTTTCTTTAACGAATTGATGTCTGTTGGTTTATCTCTACGAGTACATAAGATGTTGTTCGGGAAATTCCTCGTGCATTGCTCAAACGAGTCCCAGGTTGTCTGCCTTTTGAGCTCCGTCAAGCTCTGGTTTTGTGATGGCTGGTGGGTGATTGCGTTTTCTTGTTTTACTTGTATATCTGCCTGTTGAAGAAAAAAGTTCAGTATTGGCTTTAACATCTAATCGAGGAACATCTGCTTGCTTGAGAATTGCAGATTACGAATGTTGGTATCGTTTCTTGAGCTTTGAGGATTCGTGAACCCTTTTTACCCTATTCAAGAATCGAACCTGTGCTAACATGTTCATGCATTCATCTTATTATTGCCATAAGTTGTCCTTGAGCTGATTCTTCTTGCTCGGGAGTAATTAAAGAGGGTTACATGGTCGTGTTTCTTTCTGGGTTTTCTTGTTCACCTGCCACAAAAATGTAAATTTACCTGATGATGCTCCTGTATTGCCTATTGGTTGCTTGCAGATGATAAACACCACGAACTGTTTCGATCCATCTAGTTATTATGGAAAACAACATAATCAAGAGCCATTGTCTTAATCTAATTAAACCTATAAATTTTCTAGTAGTTACTTGACTGAATAAAATTTCTTATAGGTGCCGACGTCAATGACCATGAGCTGATAATAGTATGCATCATGAGTTGGCTCAAGAAGATTTTCAAAGGTTCCAGCCATAAAATCACGGAAGGGCATATCCGGGGACGTTATGTGGAGGGTCCCAATTATAACGCTCCTTCCACTTCAGGGGTAATCACATCTATGAGTTCTTGCCATATTCCTTCAATATAACCATGTCTATCACATGTTAACTTAGTTTTAGTTTTGTTTTGCTTGTCTCATCATCATCCCGCTAGGGGCTGGATGTAACTCACACTTATTTCTCAAATGAGTTTGATCTGAATGACTTGTTGTACATGATCAATGGGCTGATGGAGTTAGTTCATCATGTAATTGGCACTTAATGTGTGAAATCAGACATTATACTACTACAGAATGCAGTAGTCATCCTATTTTCCTTGATGTTGTCTGTCAGTATTAAATTTTTGTAATGCAATTCAGGTTCCTGATTTGCTCTCTCCTTTTAACCATTTGGTGGACGACTAAATGTAGGATGCATGGTTGGAGTACGAGAATCAAGATATAGATCGTGCCATTGCATTATCCCTTTCAGAAGAGAGCCAAAATCAACATAATGTGATTGGTGAGTGATATGGCTAACTGGCCATTTATTTCATCGGTCAAATTTTGACTCCATATTCTATTGAAGAGCCAGACTATATGCTTATAGTTTGGCTATAATTCTTGAGCAACAATGTATAATTAATTATTCGCGATGATGTGCATCTTTAAGCTATGATTTGTGGATGTCTTCTCCGTGTTCAAAACCTTTTATACTGAAATTTGAAGTACTTTCTAATTGGACTATCGGATCAGACAATCAATACCAATTGGAAGAAGATGAACAACTGGCTAGGGCCATCCAAGAAAGCTTGAATGTTGAGTCTCCTACGGTTAGAGGAAATGGACATTCTCCTTTCCCATATGGAAATGGTCATACACATCAACCTGTACCATTCTCCTATTCCACAGGTTACAGGTATGACAGCTTTTTATATTTTGGAAATTTTGTTTGAGTTTCATTTTGTCTCAACTTAAGTTCTGTTTATAGAAAATTTGGTCCTAGGTTAATGGGCACTGCATGAGTTTGAAAGTAATTTTGGAGTAGGTAGGGGATGAGAAAACCTTTTACCCTAAAGTTACTTGAACAAGGTTAAGCAAATGTTATACTTGGATGGAATGGTTTATTTTCTCAACCTTATTCCACGGAGTTTGATTGTGTAACATGGGCTATCTTTCTTATTGAGGTCGTTGTGAACTTATGTCTGGATATTATGAACTTATTTGGATGTTAAAGGTTGAATAGGGAAGGGCGTAGGAATAGTTGAAGTTTTGCACTTGATTTCTCTTTGATTCAATTAGATTTGTATTAGTACAGAGGTCATGTTAACCATTAGTAAAGCGGTAATGTTAATAAGTTCCCCCAGGACATTAGTCAAGCATTTATAATAAGGGAAACTTGGAATTTTAAAATACTAATTACACGCATCAATAGAAAAGTTGATCTTTTAAAGTTTGAAAGCTCCCTTTCGCAGTTGCTTGACAAGTGGCCTGAGGGTACTATGGTAACAGTACAGAGACTTAATATATTTTATGACAAACTACATTTTCACTAACTTCTTTTGAAAGAAATGTTTGAATTATCCCCCTATCTCACACATTACACAAGTTTCACCTTTCAAAACTTTGGATTTACAATGTTCATGCTCTGCAAAGTTTTGAAGTTGTGTAAAATATGAAGAGGTGTGTTGAACATGAAATGCAGCCTTGTTTGTGGGTTTATGCTTTTAGGACTTCATGTACACTCATATTACAGAGCTTCCTGATGTATGTAAATACCATATCATTCCTACATGAGCTTTTACTCTTTTGAAGTTAAGCACCTACATTTTCAACATGAATAATTTACAGCTTCAAGGTAAATTCAATAGGCCTTAAAATGCCGCTTATTACCATAAAGGAGACTGGTGGTTTACGATTTCCTTTCATTATTTCTATTGAAGTCTCTCTCTCTCTCTCTCTCTAAGAAACACCTTACTAAGACCCACCATCTGTTGAACCACAAACCTCCATTAGCCATTCAATCTTCAAATTGTATTTTGTGCTTGCTAACACTGACATGACTCTCTGACCTAATCTCATTCATAAGGGAAAGATAGCATGTCATTTTCTCCAGATTTTTCACCAAGGAGGGGGTCATGGCCTTTTTCACGTGAATATCCATCATAAGCTTGTTGATAAGGAAAGAAGGTGTTTTCTTCAAGCATTAAACCAAAGAAGAAATGTTTACTTGTGTTTAGAAATTGAAGCAAAATGTGTCAAGCCCCCGATTTACCAGAGGTACTCTTTGGCTAGTTAACAGTCTAGGTTAGTCGGTCACTTCACATACTTCTTTCTAATCACTTGACGCTGACTTGTTGACATGCTAGCTTCTTGTGAAATCTTTAAATATATTGGTAGTCAAGATAAATTCGGATGAAAGATGTAAAATGTTTTCTTATCAGGTAAAATTTCCTTTTACCCTTTTGTTACAAAAAATCCAAGTGAACTATTTCCTAAGGAATTGCACTTTTTTGGTGCCTATGCCTCTGTATATTTTCTTGTGATGTATAAGTTGTTCTATGGTACATTTTCCTTTTGTTCTTTTGTTGCCAAAGAGTGCAAGTCAACTATTATTTAAGGAACGTTTTACACATTTGTCATGCCTATGCATGGGTATATTTTCTTGTGAAACTACATATTTTAGTCCAAAAGAATGAGAAATAACTTTTTCTTTTGCATAGCATGTTAGTTTTTACCATTCCCGTTATAATAGTTGAGGATATAAAGGCTTAGACCGGGGGGACAAGATAAGAAGAATTTGAAAAATCCTGTAGAAGAAATCTTACACGAAAATTCACAGAACATAAAATTACTGAAGGTTGCACTGTGCACTTATCAGACCAGGAGGTCAGTGGCCCGTGCGAGCCCCTAAGGTCTGTCATTGTGTTAGTGTGGCATAGCTGTTTGGGATTTATGTCAAATTCCTGTTACCATTAGATTAGAAAACCAGATTGACTTGCAATAAAAACATTTCCATTTGTGTCAATAATCAATTTAAGTGCACTGTGACTTTACTCATCGTGTTGTGTAAATGATAGGTGTCCAATATTGCTAATTCTTTCATCATTGACTATAGGCAAGAATATAGTTTCATTAACTTTATCCAGCATGCCTTAATTCTCTTGTTTTTTTCTTCTGAAATTGATCATAGCATAAACATGACTATTGGGTGCCTTCTTTTGTAGAATTTGTGCTGGGTGTAATGTGGAAATCGGTCATGGACGGTTTCTAAACTGTATGAATGCTGTTTGGCATCCGGAATGTTTTCGATGCCGTGCTTGTGGTCGACCGATTTCTGATTATGAGGTACATACTAACCTAAATTTTTTCCTCTATAATTGATTCCTTTAGGAATTTATACATTTTTGGTTGTTTACTAAGAGGGTTATTTGGGTGGTTTACACCAACTAATTAAGCAAGATTATTTGTGAATTGCAGTTTTCTGTATCAGGAAATTACCCTTTTCATAGGTCTTGCTACAAGGAGCATTACCACCCAAAATGTGATGTTTGCAAGCATTTTGTAAGTGTCATAGATGTACTGCTTTGAACTGGCTATAGCTTGAACTCGTTCCCCCTCATTGGATGTGATCATGTGATCTTTCAGTTTCCATCTGTATTAAACTGACTAACCCTACTCTGCATCTTGATCTCTAAAGTTTGATTGTCAATATGCTTATAACTCGTGTTCATTTTGTAAATGATTCCATCTCTCTATTGTGTAATAAGGAACTAGAACTAGAGTTCACTCATTTTTGTCAGCCGTAATTCTTAAATGAAGAATGACGAGAATTATCAGTTTATAGTAAAATCCTGCTACATTCAAGAAGGAATCAAATTGAACATAGTGAGTATTCTGTTTCGTTAGGTTTACCAGAAACAGTGTTGAAATGAGAGGATGCAGATGACAATATCAAAATCGCAGATAAATAACATCATGAAATAGAGCAAAAGAATTGAGGGACACTAGGAAGGAATCAGGGTAAAATTGGAAAATATGGGCAAACCTTCCAATTGACCACGCTGTATATTTCTTTATATGGGAAAATGTGGGCGTTGTCGATTGAAAAGCCTTCGTATGCCTTACGATGTAAGATGATGATGTACCATCTAAATACTGTGAATTATTTCTTTGAGAAGCGCCACTCATACCAGAATACGTCTCCATTGACAGATTCCAACGAACCGTGCTGGTCTTATTGAATATAGGGCACATCCTTTCTGGGGTCAGAAGTACTGCCCTTCGCACGAACATGATGGGACTCCAAGGTGCTGCAGCTGTGAGCGAATGGAGGTCAGTCTAATGAATCTACTCTATCTCCCAAATTAGCAAGATCCAGAAACCTATATTTGCTCAAAAAGTCATAGATTGAGATATTTTCTCCTCATGTGCAGTCACAAGAGATGCAATACGTCTCACTTGATGATGGTCGGAAGCTCTGTCTAGAATGTTTAGACTCGGTAATTATGGATACGAATCAATGTCAACCCCTATATCACAGTATACAGAAATTCTATGAGTATATGAACATGAAAGTGGAGCAGCAAGTTCCTCTTCTCTTGGTGGAACGTCAGGCTCTAAATGAAGCCAGAGAGGGAGAAAAAAATGTAAGGCTCAATATTATGCATTCCCTTTAAATGGCATGTTGATATACTGCATAACTACAAAGACAGCTAACTATCAACAGTCTCATCGGATGATAACATGAAGACATAGAAAAGTAAAGATTCTAACTCGCGGGGCAAAATGTACATGAATGTGTCTTTCATTCTAGAAAAATGGTCATGCCTTGACATGGTATTCAGCAAGGATTTGATGGCAAGACAGTCTTCTTTCTAGAATTTTTTAACATGGTTTACTGTAACTAGTCTCCGTATATTGATCGTTATCGATGGCACTTTTGGGGGTACATTCTTTTTGCATATAATCACTTCTGAACAATACTTTTTGACCAGGGCCATTACCACATGCCCGAGACAAGAGGACTTTGCCTCTCAGAGGAAAGAACCATCAGTACGGTAAGAACTCCTGTAGAATGCTCACCGTGTGAGCGTGTGAAATAGCATTTATTTATCATCAATCACTCTCATATAACTTTCTACCTGCTATGGCAGATATCACGGAGACCAAGGATTGGGGGAGGCCGAGCTACGAACATGATAACAGAGCCCTACAAGCTAACACGATCTTGTGAAGTGACTGCCATTCTCATCTTGTATGGTCTTCCCAGGTATTGTATGTGTGTGATATTTCTAGAACTCCATGGAGGAATTCATGTTTTGGATATATTTGTTTTGCTGTTGCACTCTATTGCACTTTTCCCGTTCACTAATCCAAATGTTTGGGAACAGGTTGTTGACTGGATCAATTCTAGCTCATGAAATGATGCATGCATTCCTTCGACTTAATGGTAATTTCCTAGTCAGTGCCATTTGTACAATGAAGTTCGCATGCTTTTGCAGATTGAATGGTACATCATTGTCATGAGCTCTGATGCTCGGATGACTGAATTAATTGTCATCATATTAAGTTCCTGTTAAGTAACTTGTCAGCGACTTGGAGTGACGTATTATCATCATCTATGCTTAAGGTTTTCAATCTCTCCACCAAGATGTGGAAGAAGGCATCTGCCAAGTGGTGGCCCACATGTGGTTGGAGGCGGAGCTCAATTCAGAATCGAGCAGCCACAGGGCACCGTCCTCTTCTCGAGGACCGAAGGGAGGCCCCAAATCTCAATTCGAGCATAGACTTGGTGAGTTCTTCATGCACCAGATCGAATCGGACTCGTCCCCAGTTTACGGCGACGGGTTCAGGGCCGGCCAGAAGGCGGTGAAGAAGTACGGTCTCCGAAGTACCCTCGATCACATTCGGATGACGGGGAATTTTCCTTACTGATGCGAGATTCATTTATTTTTTTAATCAGCAGAGTTGAGGATGATTGGCCATTCATATTATTTCCAGAAGGTCAATGCGCAGGGTTTGGTAGTTGGTACATAGTAACTTAGGATGACATTCATTCCCTGTGAGAGTTCATTATACACATTCTTTGTCCATTACAATAGAAACCACAGGATCGGGTCATACTCCTATACATTCATTACTAGGAGATTTTTCTCCCCCCCTCCAGATATACCCTGTTTGTACTTCTATTTCTGCGAGGAATCGAATATCGAGTGTTCGCGAATGATGTGAGACAATGATAGACATAGGATGTGTGCACCCACAGAACATGACACTTTCCCTTTTTAATGTGTACAAATTCATAAAGATGAAAGCATGTTGGTAATTTCCTAGTTTTCTTGATTTCAACTTTTCAAGAAAGGAAAATTAAGGAAGACTGTCAAACCCTTCTCATAACCTGCTTTTGAATGGAAACAGGAAGTGGAAGATCCCCAGAGGACAACGAAGCGCAGCCTCAGTTTTCCCATTTTCCCTTTTTATGTTTGTCTTCTCTTCTTGGTCTCTTGACAAGGTTTCAGCAAAATTATCACTGGCAAAGCGCTATATAACATTAAGGCTGACTCAATAACAAAGAAAGAAATGAACAATCCTGTCCAAAGTCCGAACTTGAATGGCCCGATAATATATCGGAGCTAACTTAAAGTCAAGTTGGCTTTTGTAAGGATAGGAACTCCACACCTGACATATAACTAAAAACGGTATTGAGACGGGAACCCGAACCTGTAAACCAATTCGATTATACACTATAATTGGTTCAAAAGAGTCGAAACCCAACTAAACTCGATCTGAGCAGCCTCTCTACACACAAATGCAAAACGAGGGTGCTAATTGAGATGAAGATGTTTTCCGTTGGGGCAAAACGAGACAAAGGGAAAACTACAGGGGCTAAATAGTTCTCTCTTTCTTTAAAGGGAAAAAGGCATCAAAAACCCTAAATTATGTCCACCGTGACATATTTACCCTAAACTTGTTTTTGTGACACCAAAAGCCACAAACTTGTACCTATGCGACATATTTGCCCCAAAGTTTGGGGTAAACGACCCAAAAAAAACCACTTGCTGAACATTACAAAAAATGCCAAGTGGGCAGGTTTACCATATATATAAATATATATATAAACAACACGTCAAGGTAACTATATATAAATATAAATATAAATCAAACTAAACAATGTCAAATATAAGCAACATGATTGAATATAATATAAATGAACGATAGAGTACAAAGTATTGGAAGAATGCAAAAGATTGTGAGAAAGCTTCTGCGTTGATTGGCCACCCATGGGAACATCCCCGAGTTGATCATCTGGTAGTCCCTAATTGCGCCATAAAAGAGGCCGGATTGCTTCAGATGCGCCGCCAAGTACATGCCCTGTGCCTGTGCTAGCGCCTGGATACCCTCATCCTCTTGCCGGCGTGCATATGCCTCTTGCACCTACAATGAAGAAAAGCAACTTTTTTTCAATGAAGTGGGAAACTTAAGGCCTATGCTCATCCTCTTTCTATTCGATTCGGTACAGGCCTTACGGAGCTTCTCTATGAAGCTCACAACCATCACAAAAGTAGCTCAACAAGATATTCCACCTTGGCTAGTTCATAAGACTGGGACCATGCGTCTTGGTTCTTGAAGATCTTCACTGTCCACGTGACCTTTATCTCCATCTTAAGCCTTTCCGTTGCTATAATCTTGGTCTCTAAATCGGTTTTCGCAGCATTTTGTTTGGTCTGTCCAGCACCGACTTTACCCTTCATCATCTTGTCCTTGGTCTCTAGATCGAATTTCACCGCTTTTTCTTTGGTCTGTCCAGCACCGACTTTACCCTTCATCTCCAAATCGAATCTCACAGCCTTTTTTTGGGTCTGTCCAGCACCGACTTTACCCTTCATCTTGTCCTTGGTCTCTAAATCGAATTTCACAGCTTTTTCTTTGGTCTGTCCAGCACCGACTTTACCCTTCATCTTGGTCTGGGAGGCATCTAACTGTTACGAGGAAATTCGGTCACGACAAAATATATCGTAATAGAAATAATAAAAACATCTCATCCACATCACATACTATCATATGCCGGTTTCAAAAAAAAGTGACAGACACTTCAACCGATAAGAAGCAATTAAAAACGATCGTCAACTAACATATACAAATCACAACCGGCCTAATTGGACCTAAATACTACCCGACATAGGCACCAATCACAACATGAAGCGACAACAAAAGAAACAGTAAAGGACGCGCTCAGTTAGGAAAAAAAAAATCAAACCCGGTTGACTTTGTAGATCACGAGCCCAAACTGCTTGAGCTTCAACTGGAGCTTCTCTAAGACCTTCTCCAAGACCTTCTCCGTGGTCATGGAGGCGGTGAGCATCTGGCCTTTGATGAGATGCTGGATAAGGTTGTTGACGTGGACTGAGGGCTTGATGTGAGAGGCAATGAGCTTGGCATAGAGGAGGAGGCTCTCGTGGTCGGTAACACAGGGGCCGATAGTGAAGACAACGGAGAAGAAGAAGGGGAGCACCTCAAAGGTGTAGTTGACCGGCGAAACATGGAACTTGACGCACTTTTGGGTCGGCCATATCCATGCCTTCTTCGCGAGCTTGACGTCCTTGATGGATCCTCCAGTTATGGCAAGGTACTCGGACGGGCCTGCGACGCGCCACATTCTGTTGAGGCTTTTGTTTCTTTACTAGGGTTTCTGATGATGATCGAGAAAGAAGAAGAAGAGACGGGGAAGGAGAGTTTGCGAGGAGTATAGTGGCGGAGCGAGTGGAGATTTATAGGGGCGAACCGAATATACGATTGAAGAGAGAAAGGGAAAAAGAGATGAGTGATTTATTTGGAATAGGAAGGTGGAGAAATCAAATATGAAGGTCAAAATCTTATATTTCCCTTTACATAGAGGACACTTCCCCCATTTTCCTTAAGCTAATCGGAAAAGCCAAAAAGTTTGTCTCCACTATCCCTAATTAGCTCTTCCTCGTTTTTGTTGGTGTGAAAAATTTATGCTAATGCTTAAAATTAAATAATATATGGACCGACAAAACAACTTCTCATTTCAATAATCTCATGTATTTACATGCATTTGGTATTTTATATGGGTGGGGGTCGATAGGTAAAAGATGAGGTACAGTATTTATATTTCCCCATTTTAGAAGAACAAAGCTCGAGACCACTAATAACGAAATATTTGTACATGATCCGAAACAAAGAACTCGATTTCAAACACTCGAAACCTTTCGATTCATACAAATGTTAATATGTAGAGTTATTTCGAAATTTTCTAGAAGTGTTTAAAATTTAAAATGTTTTTTCCTAAAAAAAAATACATCAAAGAAGTTGGGCAAATGACATTGATCATGAAAATTCAGTGTTTCTACAATCGGGCGACTCATCTTTATTTCCATTTGCCTAATGTGCCAATTATTTTACAATTAATGTCTATAGATCTTATTTCATTCAGTATTCTGGTAAAAAGCAAACAGATATATAAACAATTTTCAATAAGTCACATCACTGGCAAGCTGCCATCGCATCAGCATTTCACCAAAAAAATTAATTGAATTGCGGTTAAAATGCATTAATCCTTAAAAAAAGGAAAAAGAAAAGAAAATATTGTTGTATCCGATTATCGAAATTTAAGTTTAGTGACTTTCCATAGAATTTATCCGCAAACAAGTTGAGACTATCTTCTCGGGCTAAGAAGGATATTCTACAATTTGCGAAAGAGAATTATGATGTTTCTATTGATGTTTAGGGTTGATTTGGAAAAAAAAAAAAAGGCTTCTTCTATGGGAAAATAACAATGGCAGGACAGCCTTTATATAGGATTGTGAGGGAAATAGTTGTATTCGTTGTATTTCCTTAGATATGCGTCAGCTTATGTAAGAAAATGGTTAAATATCCTCTTAATGGCTAGGTCAAATTCCATAAAAAAAAAATCTCAAACTATGCCCACTGTGACACAAATGCTTCTAACTTTTTTTTATGTCACCAAAAATCCTAAAATTACCCACTGTGACACAAATCCCCAAACTTTGTTTTTGGTATACGAAAAAACCCAAACTTATACGTGTGTGACATATATATATCATCTATTTCAGTTTCATCTAAGGTATATTTGTCATACCGGCATAAGTTCGAGGTTTTTTATGACACAAAAAAAAGTCGGGGATAATTGTATCACAATTGGCAAGTTTAGAATTTTTGTGTCGCAGTGAGCATAGTTTGAGATTTTTTGTGATATTAACCCCAATAATTTAACAAGATGAGATCAATTGCAAAGTACGTAAAGAATCATTCGTTAGGGTTTTATAATTGCGACAGATGGGGGAGGGGGAACAAAATCAACTTGGAAGATAAAAACATGAGCATCAGCACCTCTGAGTGTGATCCTTGAAGGCTTTGCAACCGTTTCTCGTTCAGAAAAGAAGAAAGAAAAAATTGGGCTGAATGAATGCATTTGTAACCCTTGTTCAATCCTTTAGTTTTAAGGATGCATTTGCCGCTCGATGATCCCGCTTGATGGAAATAGTGTCCTATTTAGAAATTGTCGATGGAGGGTAAAGAGCTTCGCGCGATGGTTTCTTTTGCTATATTTGTCGGTTCAAGATGAGCATTCGATTTTTGCAGAATCAATGACAATACTCTATCCTTCCAACTGTTCGTCTCGGCAGGTTTTTTGCGGCGACAATTTCATCGAGTCTTTCAGAATGTTGACGTCCCTTTGGAGCAAGATGTCAATCATGAACCTCATACCAAAATTTGCCGGTGGATGGAGACCCAAGAAGAGCAATGTGGGTTTATCCACAAATGGTAAAAGCTCTTCTCATATGGTGAAGCAATTCGCAATTCGAGGTTGAAGGTCTCTACGTAAAGAAACCGAGATATATCCAAATCCTGAAGATCTGCGATGTATTGCCCCTAAGGGATGCTACGAGACCGGTTGACATCTCGACGGCAAGTTCAAAGCATATGCGGACGATTTCATTAGTCGCTGCAACGGTGTGAACCTTCTTAATTAATAATTTATCTTCTGCTATTTTTTATGTTTGGATATCTTTGATTGAATTAATGGCACAAAATTTTTGGTTCATGTGTTCATAGTTATGAAGTAAAGATTCATCTACATGTCCTTAAAATGCCACATCGACATTCGACGAGTCGTTCTCCAAAATCTACACGGCACCCGATTTGTAAAAGCCATGTACAACTTAGCCCCATACTTGGAGCACTGAACAGCCGATGGCTCTGCTCGACATCTTTCATTGTTAATGCCAGCAAGGCAAAACTTCTTAGGATCATATATACTCGAACATTCTTTGTGTAAATGTTGATATCATTTATTTGGTCTCATGTGCTGATTAAGTCACTGTAGTTACCTCCTGTATGAGCAGAAATTGTGGATACCTCGTTTGTGGACCCAAACCCTTTAGTTGACGAGTACTTCACAAAGCCAGGAGAGGAAGCTATAACTTTGACTGGAGAGGAGCATCGCCCAGAGAAAAGTCTCGCGTCCATTTTGCCGCCCTACTGGTACATTTGGTTTACTCTAACTAAGGCCAGTTTTGGCGTATTGGGAATGGAAAGTTTCATTTACCGAAGGCACACGGGATAAGGGGAGAAGGAGGTGGCTGCATGGAAGTCCAACAATCCCCATGAGGTGGAATAAGAGATTGAATTCTGGCCGCTCGAACACCCAACCGAGCTTGCCGGACGAAGACCACCCTGTGAAATGCCCAAGCTTTGCACTTCAGCTATCATTGTCTGTAAGCATGCTTCATGAAAGTAGTTCCTCCAAATTCGACACCATGTTCACTCATCTATTTATAGACAGGAAGGAAGCTAACTAAAATCTCTATAGCGGATAATCTCAAGAAAGTTTGTGTGCCAATTGAACCCGGCAAGAGGAGGAGCTTGTTTAAGACTACGAATAGGGAACCCTTAAATACTAAAGGCACTTACGAGACTTAGCCCCGTCACTCATCTAAAGTGTACTTTGGGAACTATCCCCGCAAATCTTTGGTTAGATAAGTCTGTTCATTTGATCCTTTTGCGACTGAATATGAATGCCGCTTTGAAGGGGGCACAAACGAATGAGGAGCGAATTGCGAAGAGCACAAGGAAGAGAGCTGAAGCACGGGAATTGGCAAAGACAGAGAGAGTCATGGTGGCTTCTGAAACATCCGTCCTGCCACTGCGCAAGAGGCATCACACTCTCGTACAATTCCACCTTTGCCTTTTCTGTTTATAGCACATTCGGTGGGGTTCTAATTGTCAAAGCTGCTATGGTATCATTTCTGTCAAAGACTTATCGAGTTGCCTGTCATATTACCAACAGTGTACCCGGAGAGGCCATATGTATGTTATCGACGGGCGAACTAAGTAGAAGAATTTCTTGGTACTTATTGACCTATACACGTATCTTACGGCACCCGCATGCCGAAAGCTTACACCAAGCAACTATGCTTTGAACATTGACTTTCTTACTTTGGCTTGGATCTTCTGACTGTGGTTGTTTTAGTTTTTGATAACAATGGTGTTATGATTGTGAGGGATTGTTGTATCATGACTTTGAACGTTTCTGGAATTAACAGCACAAGAGTCCTAATTGTCGCACCTGGAAGAGGAATTCCACCATCTTTTACATAATAGGTGAAGTCCACTAGACAACCAAAAGCACGTGATATTGTTGGGACTAAGAGAGGAGGGCAAAGGCCCAAACTTGTACCAGTATGACACATTTACCCTAAACTTTTTTTATGACATCAAAAACCCGAATCTTATACTCTTATGACACATTTACCATATAAGTTTTGGGGTTTTTTGTGTCATGAAAAAATAATTTGGGGTATATGTGTCGCACGGATATAAGTTTGGGATTTTTTATGTTACAAGAAAAAGCTTTGGATAAATATGCCATACATGTATAAGTTTAGGGTTTTTCGTGTCGCAGAAAAGAGTTTTGAAGTAATTGTGTTACCGTGAATATAATTTAAGGTTTTTTTTTTTTTGGTGGCTTTTTCCCTTTCTTCAAACGACATGCGGGCCCAACAACGGCCATAACGTAAAACCAAGCCCAAAATCCGTGCTCCTCTCGTTCTGCCATTTTGTCAAACAACCTCCATTGTTAATTTGTCATGCAACAGAACAGTGAAACTCTAACCTCGGCTCTTGCTCATCTCCATCGAACTCTTCTGTCGGCAAACAACGGTCGTCGCTACTCTCTCCATCCTCAACATGCAATGCCGAGTCTCACCATCAACATGACCGACACTCATCACAGACAGTCCGACGCTCATCACTCCACGGTCTCTCGCCTCTCTTCGCCTAAATGCTCAGGCACTCGTCAAGATCGCTCCTCCCCTCCGACCCCCGCCGGCCGCGACCCTTCCACGCGTCGCCGTCCCTCCGCTGGAACCTCCGAGAAGAGTCCAAGCTGAGCCGACCCGAGCTCCTCGACCGGATCACCCGGATCCTGGTCCTCCGCCGCTCCGGCGCCCTGAAATGCCTGCCCTTCGCGTTCTCCGACGGCCTCCTCGGCTCTGTTCTCCACCGCCTCCGCTTGAACCCCGCTGCTTGCTTGAGGTTCTTCGAGTTCGCCTCCGAGCAGCAGGATTATAGGCCTGATGTGAAGGGTTACTGCCAGCTCGTTCATATACTGGCCCGAGCTAGAATGTACGAGGAGACCAGAGCTTATGTGAATGAACTGGTCTCTCTGTGCAGGAACAATTATGTTTCCTTTGTTGTGTGGGATGAGCTTGTGAGGGTTTATCGGGATTACGGGTTCTCGCCCGTTGTTTTTGATATGATACTGAAGGCGTACGCGGAGAAGGGCATGGTAAAGAATGCGCTCTATGTGTTTGATAAAATGGGCAAGTGCAGTCGAGTGCCGAGTTTGAGGTCTTGTAATTCTTTGCTGAGCGGGTTAGTTAGAAAGGGTGAGAGTTACGCCGCACTTCTTGTGTTTGATCGGATGGTGAGGATGGGGATTGTGCCCGATATGTTCACTTGTGCGATAATGGTGAATGCGAATTGCAAGAATGGGCAGGTTGATAAGGCTGTGGAGTTTGTGGAGGAGATGGAAAATGCTGGTTTTGAAATGAATATAGTCGCTTACAATAGCTTGATTGATGGGTATGTGAGTTGTGGGGACATGGAAGGAGTTGAGAGGGTGTTGAAGATGATGGCCGATAAGGGAGTGTCAAGAAACGTGGTTACGTACACGTGTGTGGTTAAGGGTTATTGCAAGCAATGTAAAGTGGAGAAAGCAGAGAAGGTTGTTCGGGCAATGGAGGATGACGAGTCCATCGTTCCGGATGAGCGTACTTATGGCATCTTGTTGGATGGTTATTGTAAGATAGGCAAAATGGATGATGCTTTAAGAGTTAAAGATAAGTTGCTGGAGCTAGGTTTCAGTTTGAATAATGTCATTTGCAATTGTTTGATCAATGGGTATTGTAAATTCGGTCAACTTTCCAAAGCAGAGGTCTTGGTATCGCAGATGAGAAATTGGAACTTAAAGCTGGACTCCTACGGTTATAATGCTCTAGTAGATGGCTACTGCAGAGAAGGCTTGACAAGAGAGGCTTTTAAGTTATGCGACGAGATGATCCACGAAGGAATCGAACCATCTGCTGTAACTTATAATACTCTTCTCAAGGGTCTATGTCGGGTTGGAGACTTTGAAGACGCCTTACATCTGTGGCGTTTGATGCTGGAAAGAGGCGTGGCGCCTAATGAAGTCACCTTGTGCACATTGCTAGATGTGTATCTGAAGATGGAGGATCTTGAAAGGGCGCTTTCGCTGTGGAAAGAAATCTTGGCGAGGGGTTTCGCCAAATCGAGCATTGTCTTCAACACCATGATTCACGGGCTGTGCAAGATGGGGAAAATGGCTGAAGCAGAGGAGATTTTCCGGAGAATGGAGGGACAGAGATGCTCACCTGATGAAATAACATATAGAGCCCTGAGAGATGGGTACTGTAAAGTAGGGAATTTCGAACGAGCTCTCACTTTTTCGACGAAATGCCAGACCGTATAACGAAATACAGAGAGTCCCCAGCTCGAAAGATGATCATTCTTTCATTCTTTATTTTGGCTGAGTTTAGCTTTCCCTATGATGAGCTTCAAGCATCTCTTGAAGCTCAATGTCACTTAACCTTAGATGAGCTTGTTTTGAGTACAATTAGGCTGGCACTTGTTTTGAGTATACAATAACCAGGAAAGAAATCCACCAGGGAGAGCTCCAAAGGGAAGGGTAAGGGCCATCTAATAAGGAAGCAACTAAGGCAAGGAAAAGTTGAGTTACCTGTTTTAAAAATGGTTAATACCGCAAAAAATCTCAAACTAGTACACCCGTAACAATTTTACCCTGAATTAATCTTTTGACCACCAGAAACTCCAAACCGGTACACATGTAATAAATTTATCCCAAATTAATTTTTTTATCATCAAAAACCCCAAACCGGTATGTTAGTGACAAATTTACCCTCCGTTAAATTAGATTAATACCACGAAAAATCACAAATTGGTATATCTGTTACAAATAGAGGGGTAAAACTTCAAACCGGTACACCCGTCAACTGACACGTGTCATCCAACTCATTAATTTGATGGCAAAATTTAACGGAAACTAACGGATCGTAAATTTATCACAGGTGTACCGGTTTGAAATTTTTTATGGTCAAAAAAATTAGTTTAAGGTAAATTTGTCACAGGTGTACCAGTTTGGGGTTTTTCGTGGTATTAACCCTTTTAAAAAGTGTTCAACTTTTATGTGAAAAAAAGTTAATTTTGAAATTCTTATGAACAAGATTTACATTATTTCAAATGATTAACATGACTTTTCAAGGATAGAAGTATAATTTCACGACATTGTTTGTATAAAAACTTAGAAGTTATGTAAAATACACTTAGAACTTAGAAAGTCGTATACGTTTATCGTCGTACTTAACTTTAGGTAAAATTTAGTTTTTCTTTCAATTTTTTGTATGGAAAAGAAAATTTTAACCTGAGGGAGAGGTTCCATGGCCATGGAGGAACGAGAGAGAATAAGGTTATTTTCAGCCTCCCTAAATCCTCTAGAGCTGTAACTACTTACACAATGCTTTTAAAGTAAATGTACTATATGTTTATTCAAAATAGGCAAATAATTGGAAGCTAGTCAAATTTATTTATGTAGTTGTTTCAAATAAAAGAAATCCCAAACTAATTAAATTCCAAGCAAGATTTGGATCCCATACCTATCTCAAGTTTGAAAGAGATTTAAACCAAAGTTTTACCATCTTTAACGCATCATGAAGCCAACCTTACTACGCCATTTCTCTCTCTTCTTAAAAAGTTCGTGAGAACGGAGAAATGGACAGATGTTTAACTGCTACAACAAAATAAAAGTTCCCGAAATGTAGAGTAGATATTAAGATTGGAGAAATAAAATTGTACTACTTCCAATATATATATATATAGGAGATTTATGCATAATTTCCTCATAATATTATTATCCACTTTAGTCATTTTTGCGTTATTTCTCTCAACAAACCTAATTTACATGATTCTTACCCGTACATAACTAATATTCTCCAATGAGATAATAGAAAAGAGAAGAAAAATAAGAGAAATTCAGAACAAAAAAACAAAATTGAAAATGACAAAAGTCCGTTGTTGTCATCCCCTTTAATACGTTGTGGAGACCTCAGCTCGAAATGGACATAGGGACTTCTACTTCTTGGCAGACATGTATTATTAGTCCAGATAATAATCTCCTCTAGAATGTTTGATGTATTGCTGACAATTCCATTGACTTTGACTTTATGGTTTTTTAACTTGCTTGTAGACTTTATAAATTAATTTCGAAATTATTCTAAGAAGGTGATGTTATCATCGACTTAAGTTATTTTTGTTGTAGTCATCTTCCTTAAACTCACAGGATCATGAATGGTTTACACAAGAGAGTACATTAATCTACATTAAAAAGATCATATAGGAATAATCATCTATTTAATTGTAAATCTACTCTATGGATGTCAATTCAGTTCTCAACTTTTCAATTTTATCAATGTAGTCCTAAATCTTTGCACAAAATTTCAATGTAGCCCTTCCGGCAAATTGCTACCATTGCGTCCAGTCATGGCCGGCTGGCCTACATGGCATGCTGATGTGGACAACCATGTCATCAATGTTCGGCAGCCATCGCCCGAAAGGATTACATTGAAATTTTGCGTAAATATTTCAGATTACATTGGCAAAATCAAAAAATTTAGAACTAAATTGGCATCCATACAATTGGTTTATAATTGATTGGGTAATTATCTTAGTCATTTGTATAGTGTATTTTGAGCTTGTACTATAGGTTCCACGTTTAACATATAAAAAAATAAGTTACTTTTTTGCTACGAATTGATTATTCATTTTCATAATAGAATCTGTTAGTTAATACAATGAGATCTGACACATATATTATATGTTGACAATGAAAACCCAAAGGAGTTGTTTGAGGATATACATGCTTGTCATCCTCAAATCACCGTGCACATTCCTTTTTTGCCACACCTACGAATAAGAATATGTCTGATGATTAGTTCCAGGGGTGGGTCAATTTTCACTCAGCAACAGGGGTCATATCTTTGCCTTGTTCTGACTCACCAATCGAACACACCACTTCAACAGAAGCTTCACTGATCATCAATTGCAAATAATAATTTCATCTAATATCCCAACAAAAAAGCGAAACACTAAACGACAGAACCCAAGAAAGACAATCATATGAGAACAAATAACAAAAGTGGTAAAGATTTCCCTTAAAGATGAGCTTCACCAAAAAGAGATTCTTACAAGCTAACCTAAAAAAAATGGCAAAAGCCACCAAAATTTTTAAATTATGCTCACTATAATAGATATATCCTAAACTTTTTATGTTATACAAAAAATTTTAAACTTGTACTTATGTGACACATTTACCCTTCGTCAAGATTTCGTTAATGAGCACCATTAGAATCTGCCTACATGGACACCGAAAAGGAAACGATGTTGACATGGGACCCATGTAGCTTAAGTGAATAAAAATGACATTATTTTAACTGAAAGATCAAATGATGGAACCTTGACGGAGGATAAATATGTCACATAGTTATAAGATTGGAGTCTTTTATGTCACAAGAAAAAATTTAGGGTAAATGTGTCACAGTGGGCATAATTTGGAATTTTTTGTGGCTCCCCCCCCCTAAGAAAAGGAGAAAGAAATAGTCTTCCGAAGGTCTTTTGGACTTGAACTATGTAGATACACAAACAACTTGCAAGAACTTTCATTGGGTTTGTCGTGAGAGAGAGAGAGAGAGAGGGTCGTAAGTGAAGAATGGGTGATTAGGATTGAGCGTGAAAGAGGCACGTGTCACAAATCATGATTCTCCCGTACTCTCGTACCCCTATGAGTGGAGCTTGGTGCCGTTAGGATGAAAAGTGGGTAATGCAGAGAGAACGATATAACTGGTTTATGGGAGTGGCGTCATGATGGTTTGTGTAAGAAATTTTATGTTAGAATGGATATACCTTTAGGACCTCTAAAAATGGGGTTGGGCTCTCATGCATAAATTGGTCGGAAGTTGATGCTACTCTCTTGATAAGGTTATGGCAAGCCAAAACCAATTGGTATGCCTAAAGTGTTTTCTGCGTCTCGCTCGAGGAACTAGATGCCCAAGCTAAGCTGGGGATACGATCTAATACGAGAATGTTATTCGACGTACTGTTCTTAGAAACAACTATATAAAGAAGGCTGGCTTGGAGTCTTCTCGGTTCGCCAAGCACTGCATGGGCTATTCCGTGGTCAAGGAACTACTGGGCCATGACAAATGGTATCAGAGTAGGGATCCCTCCAATAGGTGAGCGATTCAAGGAAAGCCTATGGTCTTCCTGGTCCTATGAGGGCGGAGTGAATTATTGGGACTAAGAGGGCTTGGACGATGTGTGACTCTCGTCTAGCTTCTAAGATGGTAATAGGGGCATAGGGTGGAATCGAATTGCTCATTGAATAGGGATAACGTTTCTAGATCAATTGGCGAATCCCAAGAGGAGGTATGTTATCACGTTTCCAACAAGGGGAAAACCTTTCCATTGGCTTGCTGAGATCAGGAGAAGTCTAGTAGGCGAAAGAAAGTGCTACCAAGGGAGTGCAGTTAGCTAGAGATGCCACACTTGTCAGGGAGCACAAGTGACTGGAGATTCGCAAACAGTTTTGATCGAGGGAAGCTACCAGTGGAGTGGAGTGGCCTGTTCTATTGGGCGAGTGTTGCCATTCATATAAGTATCAGGGAGTAACGTTAATGGTTGGGAAATACAGGGAGCGATAGGACAGCTCGCAACGAAGGCGTTGGGAAGTTGAGTGGGGGAGAATGTCACAGACCGTGATTCTCCTTAAGTTTGGTGCCATCGAGGTGAAGAGTGGGTGATGTAGAGGGGAAGATACAATTGGTTCGGGGGAATGTCGTCTATGTGGTTTGTGCTAGGAATTTTAAGCTAAAATGAATGTATCCTTAGGAACAAACTGGTTGGGAGCTGATGCCGCTCTCCTGATGAAACCATAGGGGGTCAAAACCAATTGTTATGCTTAAAGTGTTTTATGTGTCTGGCTCGAGGAACTGGATGCCCGAGCTAAACTAGATGTGATATGATATGATACGAGAATGCTAGTCTACGTACTGTTCTTAAGAACAATTATAGAAGGAAGGTTGGTCTTCTTAGTTCACCCGGCATCACACGGGCTATTTCGCGGCCAAGAAACTACCAGCCTGTGACACATGTATTGTGAGGCTTGAGCGAGCAACCATTCACTTTTGTGAGAAGAATGATAATAAGAATAATAATTAGGGTTTTTAGTAGAGGTAATAAGAAGAATTGTATATAAATTCCGGTCTAGGTGGTTGGCTCTACACTTGAAATCGGGAACCGAACTAATTTCACCGATTTCGATATTTAGGAATCGGTTACCGGATCGGTTCCCGATTCGGTTCCCGATTCGGTTCGTTCTTTTGCTCGCCCCTAATGTTGACCGCCGCATTATTAGTTTATTAATGATACCGTGTTTGTAATATTTCGATTGAATCAAGGACAAGATAATTGAGTTTTAGTCATTCCAATCAAGATTGAAGTGTCCCGGCACTTCGAGCACTCAATTAATTTCATCATATGGCCGGTCAAAACACGTTGCGTAAGTAGTCCCGCGACCGTCACGCATCGTACGACAATCCAAGCAAATAAGTCTTCCCCCGAAAAGCATCTCGAGAGGAAGCATGAATTTATGGCCGTTTGAATTCCACGATCTTGTCAAAAAAAAAGAAAGAAGAAAATTCCACGTTCTTTTCGACCAAAGGCAAAAATTCCACGATCTTGATAAGGATCCACTTGGAGAAATCGCAGGTCCCGTCATGCACCGTACAAATTGTATCCTAACACCACTCAATTCCACCTTCCCTTCACCCCCGACACTCCGTACTGGACATTTCTTAACACAACCATTAATTCCTCATGTTTTTTTTTTGTTTTTTTTTTTGGTAAAGTAAGATAATATATATACTTTTCACAGCGAAACATACAAAAAAACTAGTCGTACACAAAAAACCTCGCACTTGAGATAGTTTTTTTTTAAAGTAAGATAGTCGTAAAGTAAGATAGTTTTTTTTTTTTTACCACCCGCCTGGGTGGCGCTGCTGGAGCGCGCACTCTTCCTCTCGCAAAAGGTTGAGTGTTCGAATCTCGGGCGCCGCAGGGTGACTTAACCGGTGGCACGTGTGTGGTGGCTAGCACGTGTCGCCCCCAGGGTTTACTCCCCGGCTGTCGGCCGTGCAGGGGGTTCCCTGGGTTACCAAAAAATAAAAAAGTAAGATAGTTTTTTTTTTGTTAATATCATAAATAACCCAACACTGATACATAAGTAATAAATTTACCCAAAATTAATTTTTTGACCAAAAAAATCCAAAACTAGTACATTTGTGACGATTTTACTCCAAGCTAATTTTTTTACTATCAAAAACCCTAAACTGGTACATTTGTGACAAATTTACCCTCCGTTAAATTGGATTAATACTGCGAAAAACCACAAATCGATAAATCTATGACAAATAGAGGGGTAAAATACTAAACTGGTTCACTCGTCAAATACCGGTAAAATTTAACGGAAACTAATAGAGGTTAAATTTATCATAAGTGTATTAATTTGATATTTTTTGTGATCAAAAAATTAATTTGGGGTAAATTTATCTTATGTATATTAGCTTAAGGTTTTTTGTGATATTAAATCTTTTTCTTTTTGCCCTTTTACCAAAGAAAAAAGAGAGTAGAAAACCATTTTAATTTCGGTCAACGACATATTCAATCATATGATTAACATAGTATAAACGTAGGAAAAGGAAAGGAAAGTTCGCACAGGCTGGCTCGTTGAAATATCTCCTGCTCTGAGTCTCAGACCGGTGCGTTTGGAACCACAAAGGACGACCAAGCTACACGATTTCCAATGCTTGTCATTCGCCGTACATTCCATTTATTTATGACCGCAAACCGCTTTCAAACAAATTAATCTCAAATTTATGAAGAGTAAATGCCATAAATAATTCAGGAATTTTGGTGAACGTGTAACGTATTTAATGAACTTTAAATTTCTTCAATATGATTCCTAAATTTTAGTCTAATATGTATTCCAAATTTTTAGTTTGTTCAATATAATTTCTAAATTTTTTATGTATGTTTAATTTAGTCCCTAGACCTTATGAAAAATATTTGATGTTGTCATACATTGAGCTAAAATTCAAAAATCATATTAAACAAATTTAATGTTCAGGAACCGTGCATCGTACATTGAGACAAAGTTCATGAATCATTCGTGTCATTATCCCGTTTATGAAATATCTCACTAATCTTGTATGTCAAGTGAATATTTCGAACAAGATTCTGTTCACGTTTGGCCATGTGAGTATGCAATCAAACACGGGTCACGTGTCAAGCTTACATACTATACACATACGTTTCTTAACGGTTAAGTCATTTCAAGTGATTTTACCAATTGCACTTTCAAGTATGTGCTAAATCGAAACCGGGGTTCTAGTGGCTTTGAGATTCGTGCCTCCGGATCGAATTCCATGGACTCTATGATAAGTTTGGGTAACGAAGATTAAATTGGTCCATACCAAAATGTTTGACTATTCTACATATTTATAGTCAATAGTGGAACTTCATATCAATGTCAATTTGAACCTGTCAATCAGAAATCGGGTTGTGTTCCATTATTGACGAATGTGGGGGAATTGTTTATAACCAGTTGGGGGGGAAGCTGGCAATAGCCACGATATTATGGATTTTATAATTATTTATGGGGGCAAATAATTATGAATACCACATAGAAGCTGTACCCAGGATAAGCTCTAGCTAGAACAATGTCAAAAAATGACATGGAGTTGCATTTTCAAGCTTCTTCATGAATGCCTTGACTAATCTCCATAATTTATTTCCTCGTGCTTAACAACGTTAAGCATAAGTATCGACGTAAATTCGTTCGATTTATACAGTAGACTCAACAGAAAATTGTTAACACATGCACAGTTAATGTTATTGTAAGTATGACCCCATCTTAAACAATGGGAATTAGTCAAGTATATTTTAATTAAACCTAAACAATAACTTCTCAAAATCCATATATGCACGAATATTGTAGAAAAAATTCATTTTCAAGCTGTCCCAATTAACAAAAACGATAATGTCTAGAGACAATAGAACTTTAGTTTAATTTTGATGATCAAACCTCTTTTATTTTTCTCTACAGAGATTCAAATGTACATCCTGTGTTTAAGAACAAGTTGATTCTACAGCAAAACAACTTCTCTGCATCATCCTGAACATTTTATTGCTTTTGTGTCCATCATCGTACATAATAACACATCAAGACCTCTTATATATCTACAACTTTCATATCTTTGAACTAAGATCAGAACAGAAGCTCAAAGTGAAAACCATCTTGGCCTTCATCAGCAATTTTCCCCATCCAGAATTGAAGTTCCACTCCAATCATGTGTGCATGTAATGGGTAATTCATCGCCATACGAGGCGTGTGTCGCGCGATCCGATATCGATCCTCCGGCTAAGAAGGCCCGACGTAGTATCTTCGACAACATGTTTGATCTTTCTTTTCAAGACTCCAAAGAGAATGGAGTCTGCAAGAGATCGTAGGGAGCCCAGAGTGCGTCCAATGGGCACGGCCGGTTCGCGTCGAGCCGGGCCCACGGCTTCCCTTTCCCGCTCCAGTGCAGGAGGCTCACCGGCCCGGGATGCAGATCCCGGCACAGCCCCCGGAAGTTGTCCCCGCCGAGACCGTGCTGGTTCCACCGGTGGTCGACTGCTGCAATCCTCCCTGCCAGGACCAGCAAGAACGGCGGCAGTGACCCAAGCTCGTATATCCTCATCCTCTTCTGCAGCTCCATCCACTCCTCTATCTTCTTCGTGTAGTCCCCGTGTCGCCACCGGTCGAGATCGATCACCATCACTCCAGTGTTGAAGTAGCACGGCGTGCGGCCTGCGAAGGTCGATGACAGCGAAGGGTTCGACCAGAAGGTCGGCGTGAAGTAGGCTGTGAAGTTGGCGTTGCAGTACTCGGGGGCGGCGAGGACAGCGCTAATGCCGAGCGGCGTCGATGAAAGCTTCGCGATGTCATCGACAAGAATGAGGTCGGAGTCGAGGTACACGACCTTCCGGACGCATGGAGGGAGGAGGTCGGCGAGGTAGCTCCGGGCGTAGTTCAGCGGACAGTCGAGCGCGGAGCGGATGGATGTCGAGATGAGGCCCGAGACAGCAGCATCGCGGAAGCGGTAGAGCCAGAAGCGGAGGTAAGGGAAGGAGGCCGAGATGGTGGCGCGGAGGAGTGGGGCGTTGGCGGAGGCGACGAAGTGGAAGACCACGTTCTGGGGGCAGGAGGAGTGCTGTAGGATGGAGAGGATCGCCGCCATGGAGCCGCGGATGTACGCGGTGTCGAGGGTCATAGCCACGTGGACCGCCGTCTCGGAGCAAATGAAGACGCCGTCGTCATCCGCGTCGGGTTTCTCGGCGTCGTCTTCGACTTTGCGGTTGCTTTCCGCGATGGACGGGCAGTCCGGGGAGTTGTAGAATTGCGGGGCCTCCTTGAATCGGCGGGCGGCGACGGTGGCAGTGGCATTGGATGAGAGAATGGAGGAGAGGAGTAGGAGGAGGAAGAGGAGGAGGAATGGTTGTTCAGGCATACTTTTGTCAGGATTTGGAAAGAGGGAGAAGGAGAGGGCCTGTATTATTATGTGAGACAAATGTTCTTTTTATAGCATACTTCAGATTTTGCTCTCTAAATAACATGAAGGCTTGAGCATTAATAAGAATTCTCTTATTTAAAGGGATGTAATTACTAGTGCATCCGTAACAAATCGGTTCACGTGACAAATTTATCCACAAAAAATCTTAAACTAGTACATTCGTAACAAATTTACTATCCGTTAAATTTTATTGTTATATTACTTAGTTAAATGACACATGACAGACAGTTGACGAATGTACCGGTTTGGAATTTTATCCTCCGTTTGTCCGAGGTGTACTAGTTTGTGATATATTTTTTTATATTAGTTTAATTTAATATAGGGTAAATTTATCACAAGTGTACCATTTTAAGATTTTTTATGGTAAAAAATTAGTTTAGGGTAACTTTAACATAGATATACCAGTTTGGAGTTTTTCGTAGTATTAACCCTAATTACTAACTAAAACCAAGGAAAAATTTGGGAAACCGAAAGATTTGGGGTGAGAAGAGAGAGAGAGAGAGAGAGAGAGAGAGAGAGAGAGAGAGAGAGAGAGAGAGAGAGAATTTTGGTCAATATAAGTCTGATTGAAACCACCGACGAAGGACGCTTTAAAAGTAAATATTGATGGAGCTTACTCTCCCGGCTCAAACGAAGGCGCTGTAGCCTGCATTGTGCGCAATACCGCCGGGTCCCTAATTGATGGATTTGCTAGATCGGTGAGGGCTGCATCGGCTTATCAGACGGAAACTCTAGCTCTTGTCCACACATTGCGCTTTCTTTTTCCTCGAAGAAGTTTTAAGCTGGAACTCAACTCCGACCGCTTGAGTTTAATCTCCACTTTGAAGTCAACTGCTCAGCAAGGGTGGGAAGAGCGAGCACTAATCATCGAAGCTTCTCATCTGTTATCTTGCTTTTCGGTTATTATAATCGAGTTTTGTAATAGGGAGCAAAATAGAGCTGTGGATTGGGTTGTCAAAGCTCAATACACGAATTCTCTCCCTTCTAATTGGATAGCCAATCCCCCCGGCACTCTTTTGGACCTACTATGTTTAGATGCCCCTGTTACTAAGGGTGAGCATGGTCCGGGTTGGGCCGGTCCACCCCCTAACCCTAGGACCAACCCGCACAGTGTTGGTCCTCAATTTTTGGGACCGAGGACCGACCCTATTGAGCCTGGACCGAGGACCGAACCGACCCAATGGGTTCGGTCCGGTCCGGGTCAACCCGGACCAACCGATAATTTTTTATTTCATTTTTGTACCGGGTTTAACCCGAGACCAACCGACCCAATGGGTTCGGACCGGACCGAGCGCAGTGAGTGGCTGTTGAGGAAAACTCCTATTGATTTTGAAGTTGACAAAACCTTCCATGTTATTGTAAATCTGATACTTATTCTGAATTAATTTATTCCAAGTACGTATATTCTGGAAGCTCAGAAGGAAGTTTTTCAGACTTTACAAGCTGGTAAATACATTATTGAAGACCCACATAATCTAAGTTATGTCTGAAATTATTCAGACGCTGAAATTATTCAGACGCAGACGGAGAAATTTTCGTGCGGATTTAAGCGAAATTTTTCGTAAGTTGGCATTACGAAATTCTTCGGATGCGGAACTCGAACGAAAAACTAAAAAATATTATATTATATATATTATATCGGTCCGGTCCGGGTGGGTGGGTGGGCGGTTCCACACCCGGAACCGGGAACCGGACCGGTACCCACCGGTTCCAAAAAATTGGAACCGGGAACCGGACCGAAACCCTTAGAACCCACCGGTCCTGGTCCGGTTCCGGGCGGTCCTGGGCGGGTTGGGCGGGTATCGGGTTTTTTGCACACCCCTACCTGTTACGGGCTTTGTTTCTTAAGTTATTAATAATAAATCTTTGTGTTTCTAGACTAAAAAAAAAAAAAACAGTCTGATTGAGTTCACATCAGCAGTGGCAGGTCTTAAAGGTTATTTGGTGATGGGTCCTCTTCTGTCCCTGATATTTCACTTTCTCTGGTTTTGCTGTCCTCCCTGTGTAGCTGTCATTTAAGTTTGTGAAGTGAATAGTAAGTAAGACAGGCCAAAAAATGGAGAGATGATTTGTTTGGGAGGGAATTGGAGATTAGGCTGTAAATTAGGTAATGGAGTCAGAAGTTGCTTTCGCCTTAAACCATTTTAATCTTTTCGAAAGGCCTCTCTTTTCTTAATCTCTTGTAGGTAAACTATCTTCATACCCTCCTTGCTCTTAACATAAATAAAATTGTATAGTCGATACAGGACAGAAGTCTCTCAACCACCTTTTTGATTTGAGCTTTCCTAGTTTATTATTGAACATTAGATTTCATCTAGAATTCTAGGCTATATATCTTGATTTTAATTGTGATATTTTAGAACTTAATTCCCCTTGCCTTTAAATATAGGCAAAAAATGACTTATTGATTTGCATTTGAGCTTGTCAAATTTGGCGCTTCCATCTCTTTTATCCATCTCTCGCGTTTACATTCTTTTACTTGTTATATGATTTTCCTACCCTTTGTACAATTCTATAAACCTATCTTGCTATGACTTTCTATATGTAATTAATTTCGTTTAGAATATTATGCAACATTCCAATGCGGGAGAGTGCGTCCTTAAGATTGTAACTAAAGGTGGACTAGTCGAGATGTGTGAAAACTGCCCCGGACGCCACTTGACTGCTAACACACACAAAAGGAAACATATTTATCTGACAAAACAGTTCTTATTTATTAGAGTGGACCGAAAATAGGTGACCCAAATTCTAATCTCGGAACGCTCGACCCCGACATTGGTTAATTAGCTTCTTTGCTGCGAATTCATTGATACCTCCACCTTTTCACCTTGGTGAAATTGCCTTAGTTGCAACATCACATTGAGAAAAGGAAGTTTATGACCCCGTTTGAACTTGTATACCGGTAACTGATGTGCAATTGTAAAAGCTCTTCCCTTGGGATCAAGGACATTCCATATAAGGGTCTCTCTTTCTAATGTCACTTTGCCTCTTTCTGCTTTTGGGGTTCATATGAACGAATTGGTTGCTCCATGACAAAGGTAACTAGCAATATAGCTTGGGAACAATTCACTCCACCGGGCAGAATTGAAAGAGCATAAGAGGGTTGTTGATGTTTCATCATCGATGAAAGGCCAAGGAAAGAGAAAAAGAAAAAGAAAAGAGAAATAATAACAACAGTGATAGACCCTCATTTTTTTTTTCTTTTCATTGACCTTCCCTCCTTCTCAGGTGTTGAACTATCGCAGTCCAGAGAGGTGAAAACTAGCAATCAAATTCTGATGATTACAAACAAGCCGAATTGAAAAACACATGGAATTGCTTTGAGTCCAAGTTTCTATCTCTTGAACGCACACTTTCCACCTTCCTTCTCATACATCCTTGTTGCTTCAGCCAAAATCGGCGTTTTCTGCTTCTTTGTTTTTTCCCTTCTGTCTTTCTTTATTCTTATTTCGTTTCATTCGGCCAGTCTAAATCTGGTGGTTGCGATTAGACTTCTTTTGAAATCTGCGTGGCCCATTTCATATGTTCATTGTTAAGAAAATGTAGGTGGCTGTTAATTACATATTGTCAATGACATATGTGCAGTTTCTTTTCTTCTATCTCTTTTCTGCGGAAACACATTTATGCAGTTTCTGCTTCCTTCTGTATCAGCCTCAAAGCAGCGTTTTAGCAATTACAAGATATGGGTGGCGGTCCGCATCTCTTCTAGTGCGGTTCAATATGAATATCTAGTTTCACTAGAACGAGTCAGATAATATTCTAAAGAGCAGCTTTTTAGCAATTACAAGATATGGGTGGTGGTCCGCATCTCTTCTAGAGCGGTTCAATATGCATATCTAGTTTCACTAGAACGAGTCTAGATAATATCCTAAAGAGCCAGTAGATGGATAATTCAAGAGACCCATGTTCAGAGTCTAGTCTCATTTTCTGGTCACCTAAAGTTGAAAAAAGGCCAAACCCACGATTCTGTGAACCCCCACGCTCCTACGGTTCGTAGCTGTCAGGCACGGCTAAAACATCGGTTAGGCGTGGACCATGAAGTTCAACTAAGCAGACCCAGTTGAGGAAGCTCAATGACAGATTTTGAGAACAAGGCCAAGTTCCATAGGAGCGAGAGATCAAATAGGCGTTCGGTCAAGCGCTTGCGGGACATCCTACCTCAGCATGGGGTAGGCCGTTCCTGTTCCCCAAACCGTCTCCATCACCTCGTAAGGACAGTGGCCCTATAAAGAGGTCCTAGTTATGGACAAGTTGAATGTGAAATCAATGAAGAGTGGGTGTGTTCAAGAATGGATGACGAATGGGATAAAGATCCGAAGTCCTTGTGCTTCCTAAGAACCACAACCGTGTGGGTCTCCCAATTCACTCGACCCATTATCACTCTGCAAAAGAAAATGTCATAAAAAGAAGAAGAAAAAGAAGAAACAGGCAACAGCAAAAGAACAAAAGAGTGAACCTTCGTCCTCATGCCCTTTTCGTTTGACCCATCACCTCCTAAAAAGTGGAGAACTGTCACATTGTCAATGCAGGTGATGGGAAAACAGGGCATTGTGCCTTGGGCTGGTCACTAGCTGTAATGGTCGCTCTCTTATTCGTGTATTGTACATTGTACAATCTCAGACAGTTTCCATTGCCGCCAACCCAACATTTCACGCACCTTGAAAGTCTAGGAGACAATAGATATTACACCCTTCAAGAACTAGGAAAAATTACAGCCGTGGAATCTTGTGGGACTCGCGCTAGTTTTGACCACATGGATAAAAAAACGAAAAGCCCTCAGTCCACCATTGACAGGTCCAGTATTTCACAAAGTTATGCGGTTGTCCTTTTGCTGCCTTAAGAGTTGAAGAATGCATCTCATTAGACCAAAAACCAGTTGAATGAGTAGGAGAATGTCAGACTTACATGAATTTAATAACTAGACAGACATCTTAAGCTACCATTAATAATGAAGATGCTTCAAATTCATGTGTATCATATATTCCTGAATATCAGAATCCATTTTAGTAAATGCAAGAACGACTCATTTAACCCTTGGAAATGACAATGTCCGAAGTCTTCTGATCATGTAATGTTATCTGGATTCTGTTGGTTTGAGCTCCAGATGATGAGCTCACCAGACAGACCGGTTCTTCCATATCAAAACGACCACATAAACGGAAGAATCTTGATGGCCTTTGAATTGTCTAGGGCATTGACGTCAGATATAATTTCATCACGTAAGCATGCCCTCGTACGCAATGGGAATTATTTAAGGAAATGGAAGAGATCATACAGCGGCTCGTGGATAATCTTTGACAACGCAATTCTATTGCTAATTCAATTCCAAGAACCACACACATTGGTTACATCAAACTTCATGTTCACTTGTAAGATTGTACCATTTTGCAGTACATTCGTAAATTTCTCATATATCCTCATGATAGTAGTAGCAAACAGGTGATGCTATCTTCGTTCTGGTCAGCTTAGTTACAAACAACTCTCAAGAAGCTTCGCCCCAGAATTAATAATGCTTCTCCCCTTAGTAGTAGACACAAACAACAGGTAATGGTCTTTAATTGTACATACTCCAAAGAAATCCTGTGAGTCCTGACCTGTGCTCTTGTCCACAGTTAAGAAATCGTTGTCGTGATTCAAGTATCTGGCTATCAGACCTCTCAATATTAGAACCTTTCCTCGTTGTGCTTCCATATGTCCTGGTCCTGTTACTTTACAAGGGATGAGGACCGGATAATCGCAAAGAAAATAAGTGCACAAGATAATGTCCATGAGGAAGAATGTTCTGAAGCTCGTGCCATCAAAATCTACGTAAACTACCAAATCCCACCATCTAGCAGGCCACATTTATCCCGAAAATGGTGGCTGCAGCCCTTAATTGCATCAGCAAGAAGCCTTAGGACAGAGACCATATTGAGGGTCAGCCACACATTATTTGGAGTGAAAGGATGATCCAGAATAAATAGGAAAGCCAAATTAAACTGAGTTGCTACTGCTGATTTGTCTGCTGCTGCGGACCAATACAATAGCTACCACAGATGCCCTTGTACACAGGGTGAAAATAGTGAAAGAGATCGTGATAACGATTATCATCACATAACACGCTACTGTTATCTCAGGAAAGTGATTCTAGGATCAACTAATATGTACGGAAAGGTGAAGACATCAGAAAGCTCAAGTGCTCGGAGTACCTCCTCTGAGCCATACTGATCCATTTTTCATGTCTCAAACCAGGTAATGAATCCCATAAAGCAACTCAAAGAACACAGGATTGGATATTATCCAAACTACAAAAATCCTAAATACAGGTTTTCCACACCACTGATATAGCTTTATAGACAATTTCCTTGACGAGAAGACAACTTAAACCCCAATGCACTAGAAACATATACATCCAAGATAAATGGGAAACCTAGCAATTGGTTAGCAGTTTGAGCATTCAGTTGCACGTTCCTTCTAATTCAGAAAGAGTGCAAAAGCCACACAGACAGCAATAACCAGAAGCAACATCTTCAGGTGAACATCTTGCTGTCCTTGGCCTCTCGGATGATGATGGTATACATGTGCGTGGTGATGGCCACCGTGAAACGTATGGGGATATCCAAATGGGAATCCAGGGGATGCACCATACATGGCGGCATCAGGAAACCCATGGAGCTGGAAGTTGAACAATGATGATGGGAAGAGACCACCAAAAGCCGCGGACAATGTGAAGTTCCCAAATCTTGCAGTTGCCATGGGCCCAAATCCACCCAAGCCACCCCTAAACCCGAGACCGTGCTGGTGAAACAGATTTGGTTCAGGAGGAGGAGGAGGAGGAGCTGTTTCAGGCCTCTGCCCTGTTGGGCGGTGAGGGATGTTAACACCTGGAACAGACCTTGATCTCGGGTCACTAGAGCTTTTACCACGGCCATACAACGGAACCAACTTCTCCTCCTCGATAAGGGCTTTACAAACTGGGCACTCTTGTGCCTGGGAATGAACACGGAGCCATTCGTAAAGGCAAGGCCAGCAGAAAAGATGCCCACACAGAGTCACAATAGGGTCTTGAGCCAAGTCCAAGCAGATGTTGCATTCAAAATTACCAGCATCATTGTTATTGTTGCTTGAGCAAGAAGGGCTTTGGGGTGGCCTGCTCGAGGATTCCCCAAAACCACTAGCCATTCTTGAGATAGCTCAGTATACAAATGCCTACACACCCAATCACAAGTCACAACCCCCGTTAAGATCGAATGAAAAATATTAAGTGACGGTTTTCATAATACCGCGCGATAAGAAGTTTCAAACAATGGTTGAAGCTAATTCAAGAAGACCATCGGTTGACCCGACAAATACAAAATCCGCAAATTCATAACCACAAGATGCATTGCTTGAAAGCAATTATCTCCTACCAAAATCAACTCAACCCTTTTACATTACGCATTCACCAAGAAGCATGCCCAGAAGATCAATTCCTCTGAAGGACCAAATATCAGAAAATCAATCTCCTCAATCCCAAACAAACGCTACCACCAGAAAATCCCTTCCGAGATTGCCAAATCAACATCGCAAGCCAAATAAACAATCACCCAGCAACCCAAATTCCGAAATTCATCAACAAAAACGCCAACGAATTCGACATCGACCTCTACATCTAATAACGAGCAAAGAACAGCGATGATTCACAACCGGACGCCGAAGATTATTAGACGAAACACAAACAGATTCGGCGTCGACCCATATCCAAAAACAAGCGAATTCATAATCGATGACCAAGATAACAGCAACAGCGAGGACCATTTCATGCCCTTTGAATTGAAACGCTTCAATCAGAAGCGCTCGAACTAGCCATAAACAGAGGACCACACTGACCTTTCTGGACGGCCGATCGACGGATCGATCCAGATGGGGAGAACGGGAGGAGCGACCAGCGATCTCCGACGAATGAACCCAGTTCTAACACGCCATTGATGAACCGGTTCAAAGCATCAAAGTCGTCTCTTTGTCGTTCTTTTGCTATTTTCAGTGCGGTGGATTTTCCTGTTGACATTTCAGAAGACCGGGAAAGGAATCTGCACCTGCCCGAGACGAACAGCGTGTCATCGTGCGGCTGGCATCCTCCGAGCGGGGCCCCCATGTCCGGTCCTTCCATTCTCGACCGTCCGATGGGGGACTCGTCCTTTGTGGTCAAATTTTCGGGCGTGTATTGCAAAGCCCTTTATGTACCATTCATTTTCTTGACTCAAGTCCGATTAAATACGGGGGAAATGACGCAAATGACCTCTGAATGTGAAACGTCGTTCACAAACTTTCAATTTGTTCAACTTGGTCCCTAAATTTTATCTTAATATGTAATATGGTCCTTGAACTTTCAATTTGCTCAATATGATCCTTGAACTTTTGGTATATATTCAAACTAGTTCCTAGACTATACGGAAATATTCAATATTATCATTCTATTTATTTAAGTTCAGGGATAATTGAACATTTTCATATAATCCAGTGACTAGTTTGAACGTGTATCGAAAGTTCGAGGACCACATTGAACATATTAAAATTTCAAGGACCATATTGCACGTTGAGCTAAAATTTAGAGACCATATTGAATAAATTGAATTTCATTGACCACATTGCATATTAGGCCAAAGTTCAGAGACCATTTATGTCATCATTTCTAATATATATCACAAGTAATCAAACAAGAAATCAAATCACAATGTCAGGTTGTTCGAATCACAATGACAGGTCGTGTTATGAAAGTGGTAAGCCATCGTTGCACACCATCGTGGAAAATGTCGAAATCGATTATTCTGTTTATGAAAATACAAAATTATACCAATATGAAGTAGTTAATCGTTTAAGTATGCCCTCTTTCGATGAAAATTATCGATATTCATATATACAATTATATATAGTTTTTCTTATAGGATGTTACTTTAGGAATTTAATTTAAATACAAACATAAATTGGTACCACTATGCCCCATCCAAATAAATAATTCCTTACAGTATAAGCAAGGTTCGATTGTGGTGGCTTGGGGGGATGACCAAATGGGATTGTTCCTCTTGGCTTTTTCCTCCACCATGTTTATTAATAAAATTAAAAACGACCCAAAATTTTTCTAATCTTATATTTCAAACTACTTCTTGTCCTCGCGTGAATATGACTAAATGTGCTCCAATTACGTCCAGAGTTCGTAAACGTCGTCGTTCGACAGAGATCCTCACGACATTTCGTCGTAATTCTAAAGGTTGTTAAGCTTCATTAGAGAAGAGAAAATAACTAGAAAGGTTTAGATTGAATCGAGGAAATGGCTTGGATTATCATCAAAAAACCCGGCGGCCCCGTGAGATGCCAAGCTCCTCATGTCTGAGATGATACGAATGATCGTTCTGTATTTCGATATATCAGAGGATACATTATGAACAGTGTCATATTTTCGTCCATCCCTAATTAGATGAATAAGTTAGTGGGTTATAAAGATGGAGATCTCCAACCTGTAATCTCAATTAATTTTGCGTGTGGATGATGTCAATAACATATAACGCACCAATCGGAAGCATTTCTCCAATTAGGGACGGAGAAAATATTGCTCCTATAGACACATTAAGTAATGTTGTTCACTAATATAATTCTGCAGATTCTTACATTGTGTGACTCAATGCAATATATCAAGTTTTTATTTTTTGGTTGGGATGCAACATATCAATTTAAGTGCTGAAATTTGGTTATGAATATTACTCTCCAACTTAGGTATCAACTTATTTCATAATGGAAAAACATTAAATGCGTTAAAAAACATTCGGAAATTTAATTGCTAGAACTAAATTTTTCATTGAACGCTTGGAATTATTGTCATTATCCCTACTTTCTACATAGATAAGTAGAAAGAAAGGGAAAAGGAAACAATCAACTAAATAGATTAAATCTGCCTTTCCTCAAAATTCATTTTCTTAAAAGCCGTCTCATGAGGCAAATAACTTAGAGATAATTATAAAAAAAGTCCTAAACATATTGTACTGATGCCAATTCAATCCTATATTTTTCAATTTGACCAATTAACCCATAAATCTCTTGACGATTTGCTATATAGTCCTTCCAATTAATTTTGATAAAAAATCACTGACGTGGACGCCGGCTTTGGAATAACCTAATTTTTTTATTTTATTTGCTATCTCGTGTACTTAGGGACGTGAATGTTTGCTAATTGTCTTGCTGATTTTGATGTTGACAATAATGATGATAGTCAAGATTTTGAGAATTGCCCTCCAAAAAGACATGATTCTTCTGTTGGTAGGAAGGGGATCAAATAGGAAATGTATACAACACAAGATTTCAACATGAAATTTAGGGCTTGAAGCCTCCTGTGTTTGGGCCTCTTTCTAGGTAGTTGACATTGGACAACTCTATCTGTACTCAGCCCATTCAAAATGCACTTTTCTTACCTTTCTTTATACACGCCTTAGGGATAAATGCATAGGAGGTCTCTAATACATAATCAGGTCTCCAAACTTTTTTTTATGCAATTGAATCCCTAAAATATACTCTCTCTTTTTTCAATTTGGTCCTTAAGTGAAGAGTGGGGGTTTTGCTGGGTAAAGATGCACCGGTGGAAACCGAGAAGAGAGGGGCTAGGTTGATATGCATTAGTTCTCTACATACTCATTTATGATTTTCAGTAAAATTTCTATTTATCGCATGTTGTTCGTGGTTAAAATGATTTTTTTATACATATGAGACATTCTGGTACAAATATTTCAGTTTTCGATTCATTTCATATTTGTGGTCAGTCAATTAAAAGATGCAACACGTCAATTATCATCTATATTCCAAAATTTTGAGGCCTTTTTAAGTTCATACAAATACGCACGATATTGATTTCCATTTCTCATTAGATATAGTACAAAGTAATAATGAAACACAACAATTAGATACAATAGTTTTTAAAAATCTTTTACTTTGAATGGTCCTTACTTTATATGCAAGTTTTTTTTTTATCATTATAGCAAGATTGATATATACTCAGAATAACATCTTATAACTTCACATAAATTATAATACCGCCGAATATTTTTCATGAACATTTAAAAGAAAAATAATTTCCGACTACCATAGTATGACGCGACTGGTGGGAGAAAATAAATCATAATAAGGAAGTGCCACCTCAGGTTTGTAGATTTGCAAAATCTTTTTCCTTTAACAAAAGTAGGAAGACAAATTTGTAGTTTCACTTGATATGATCATACGAATACACATAATGCAAAATCATAAATACCAATTTGCAATTTTTAAAAGATTCATGCCTTCAAGCATTTTCCCGGGAGTTCTTATTGGTGAATTACAAAGATGGACATTTAATTTTAGTAAAATTTTCACGCGAGCGATATTCGTATGTGGAACTCATCAATAAGAGACATGATTGGCTAAAGTTTTTTTCCTTTAATCATAGATGAAGAAAAGTAGAGTCATCTAAGAGGTGTCCTTCTTTCTCCTCACCACTTTCTTTTTCGGCTGAATTTTCTTGGAGGATAATCATAAAAAAAAATCCTAAACCTATTATATGTATATCAATTCAATTCAAATATTTTAATTTGGTCAATTTAATCCTAAACCTCTTGACAATTTGCCAATATAGTCATTCCAGCCAAAATTGGCCGGAAATCGGTGATATGAATGCCAACTATCCTACGTGGCACAACCGTCCTACTATGGACAATTTTAACAATTTTTTTTATAAAAAATTTCTAAAAATTTTCTTTTTCTTTTTTCTTAAAAAAATAAAAATAATTATCCACGTTAGCGTTAGCCATACCATGTCGGATGGCTGGCGTCCACGTCAGTGATTTTCGGCCAAAATTGACCGAAAGGATTACATTAGCAAATCGTCAAAATGTTTAGAACTAAATTGGCCAAATTGGCAAATGTAAAAAAAAATTGGCCAAATTATAAGATTTAGAATTGAATTGGCATTCGTATAATAGATTTAAAATTTTTTTGATAATTTTCCCATTTCCTCGTACACTTTTACTAGGCGGATCTTTGGTTACACAATGATTTCCTCCCTATTTAATCCATGCAGGGGATTATTAGCTATCTTGTCTTTGCGATGTATAGATGTTTCAACTACATACGGAAAAAATAATAAAACAATAATGAGTATGAAGCATCCTAAATGCCTGTAACTAGTGAGTCTGACGGAAATACGTTGTCTTGTCGAGTTAAAAGCAAGCCCTTCATTCAAGCAATCCATCTATTAATAGATGCTGATTACTATCAATCGATTAATGCTGGACCAAACTTCAGGATCCATAGGAAGCGGCCTTAGGAACAGACCATTGATCACCTCAGTCGCATGAAACTTCATCGAGCTTAGGCTCACGGCCATCGTTACCAATTAGAACATCCTTCCTAAAGGAGGAGTTGAAATCAGACAATAGGAGGAACGAGTCTACAACGGTATCACCGATTCTTCATTCGATGTTGTCACCAAACACTCATCAATTCGCAGATTAGAATCCGAAGATGCAAGATCACGTCAAAATTCTATTGATGGTAATTTTGGCCTTTTTATTTTTATCATTTATAGATATTTAATATCTTGCTATAATTTCTTAAATTTACTAGCAAATGCCATTGTCAAGGATTCTTTGCAGGTTGTAGGAATGATTTAGGATAGGTGGCAGGATCCTAAGTATTCCTTTCCAACAGAGATATTTTAGAGAGTTTTGACTTAGTGGGCCGGAGCGAGGCTCATTAGGTATGGCTCGACCTATCCCCTGAGCATTTCTAGTGGGCTTAGTGTCGGCCCATGTCCTTCTAACACACGGCAACCTATCATTGGCCCACCTCCCCCGACACGGACAGCCTATCCACCGCCAATTCTCTACACCAGGGCGGCCATAATATTACCGTGGCTAGAGATGCTCCAATTGTTTCTAACGACTAGTGTGGTATCTTCATGAAAACTAATCTTGTGATTGCTTCTTAACTACTTCTGTTTTTGCAAGCAGTTGCTCCTCTAGTGGAAGTTTTCT